AAAATATTAAAAAAAAAAAAAATTAAAAACATCAGATGCTACTGAGTCAACTCTGTCTCATGGGGACCCCAGGTGTGTCAGAGTTGAACTGTGTGCTCCATAGGCTTTTCTATGGTTGATTTTTCAGAAGCAAATTGCCAGGTCTTTCTTCCACAGTGCTTCTGGGTGGACTCAAACCTCCAACCTTTCAGTTAGCAGCTGAGCACATTAACTGTTTGTACCACCGAGGGATTCCATGTCAAAATTAGGTCTTTCTCATGTAAAAAGATGCATTGATAATTACTGGTGATTGGAATGCAAAAGTTAGAAACAAAGAAGGATAGGTAGTTGGAAAATATGGCCTTGGTGATAGAAAAAATGTTGGAGATCTCCAGATGGAATACACAGGAATCAAATCGACTACACAGGAATCAAATTAAATTGGAAACAGACAATGGAGAAGCTCAATATCATCAGTCAGAACAAGGCCAGGGGCTGACTGCAGAACAGACCATCAATTGCTTATGTGCAAGTTCAAGCTGAAGCTGAAGAAAATTAAAACAAGTTCATGAGAGCGAAAGTACGATCCTGAGTATATCCCACCTGAATTTAGAGACCATCTCAAGAATAGGTTTGACACATGAACACTAACGACTGAAGACCAAATGAGTTGTGGAATGACATCAAGGATATCATATGTGAGAACAAAAGGTCATTAAAAAGACATGAAAGAAAAAAAAAAAAAAAGACCAAAATGGATGTCAGAAGAGACTTTGAAACTTGCTCTTGAATGTAGAGTAACTAAAGTGAAAGGAAGAAATGATGAAGTAAAACAGCTGAACAGAAGACGTCTAAGAGTGACTCAAGAAGATGAAGCAAAGTATTACAATGAAATGTGAAAAGACCTTGAGTCAGAAAACCAAAAGGGAAGAACACGCTTGGCATTTCTCAAGCCAAAAGAACTGAAGAAAAAATTCAAGCCTCGAGTTGCAATATTGAAGGATTCTATGGGCAAAAAATTGAATGATGCGGGAAGCACTAAAAGAAGATGGAAGAGTCACTGTACCAAAAAGAATTGGTTGACATTTAGCCATTTCAGGAGGTAGCATATGATCAAGAACTGATAGTACTGAAGGAAGAAGTCCAAGCTTCACTGAAGGCATTGGTGAAAAACAAGGCTCCAGGAATTGACAGAATACTAACTGAATGTTTCAACAAAAGGATGCAACACTGGAAGCACTCACTTGTCTATGCCAAAAAGTCTGGAAGACAGCTACCTGGCGAACAAACTAGAAGAGATCCGTATTTATGCCTATTCCAAAGAAAGGTGTTCCAACACAATGTGGAAATTATCGAACAATGTCATTAATACCGTATGCAGGTAAAATTATGCTGAAGATAATTCAAAAATGGTTGCAGCAGTACATCTACAGGGAACTGCCAGAAATTCAAGCTGGATTCAGAAGAGGACATGGAACAAGGGATATCATTGCTGATGTCAGATGGATCTTGGCTGAAAGTAGAGAATACCAGAAAGATGTTTACCTGTGTTTTATTGACTATGCAAAGGTATTGGACTGTGTGGATAATAACAAATTATGGATTACATTGTGAAGAATGGGAATTCCAGAACACTTAATTGTGCTCATGAGGAATCTGTACATGGATCAAGAGGCAACTGTTTGAACAGTACAAGGGGACACTGTGTAGTTTGAAGTCAGGAAAGATGTGCGTCAGGGTTGTATCCTTTCACCATACTTATTCAATCTGTATGCTGAGCAAATAATCTGAGAAGCTGGACTATATGAAGAAGAATGGGGCATCAGGATTGGAGGAAGACTCACTAACAACCTGTGATATGCAGATGACACAACCTTGCTTGCTGGAAGTGAAGAGGACTTGAAGCACTTACTGATGAAGATCAAAGACTACAGCCTTCAGTAGGGATTGTATCTTAACATAAAGAAAACAAAAATCCTCACAACTGGACCAATAAGCAACATCATGATAAATGGAGAAAAGACTGACGTTGTCAAGGATTTCATTTTACTTAGATCCACAATCGATGCCCATAGAAGCAGCAGTCAAGAAATCACACAACATATTGCACTGGGCAAATCTTCAGCAAAAGACCTATTTAAAGTGTTAAAAAGCAAAGGTGTCACCTTGAGGACTAATGTGCGCCTGACCCAAGCCATAGTATTTTCAATTGCCTCATATGCATGTGAAACCTGGACAATGAATAAGGAAGACCAAAGAAGAATTGATGCATTTGAACTATGGTGTTGGCAAAGAATACTGAATATACCATGGACTGCCAGAAGAATGTACAAATCTGTCTTGAAAGAAGTACAGCCAGAATGCTCCTTAGAAGCAAGGATGGTAAGATTTTGTCTTATGTACTTTGGGCATGTTATCAGGAGAGACCAGTCCCTGGAGAAGGACATCCTGCTTGGTGAAGTGGAGGCTCAATGAAAAAAAGGAGGACCCTTGATGAGATGGATTGACACAGTGGGTACAACAATGGACTCAAACATAGCAACGATTGTAAGGATGGCACAGGACCAGACAGTGTTTCGTTCTGTTGAACATAAGGTCGTTATGTGTTGGAATCAACTCGATGGCACCTAACAATAACAACATATAAAAACTAGGGACCTTTGCTATAGAGAGCTCCCAAACTTGTCAGGCAAGACTTTCAGGGTGAATGTGGCTCAGATATATAAAATTCTTTGAGGCTTCTATTCATTTGACCCTCTTGTAGGATGGATGTGAGAACAGAGGTTTTTTTCTAACCCTCAGGTGGTACTGGATGAGACAGGATTCATTGCATGGAGCTGTCTGCCTGCCACAGAACATGGTTCCCACAATAAAGAGTTTATCATGGACCTATTCCACCAGCACTTTGGAGTTTTCCCATCTGGATTTAAAATCTCCAGTATTTCCCAGCTCAACTTTCAGTGTCATTCCTTGGCACTTCCCAAGTACACCCATTGGATCACTGGAGTCAATTCTCAACATCTAAAATAAGCAGAAATACAGACCTTCTCCAAAACATCCACAGTGGCCACATGATACGTGTCTTAGTTACCTAGTGCTGCTATAACAGAAATACCACAAGTAAATGGCCTTAACAAACAGAAATTTATTTTCTTAAACAGTTTAGGAGGGTAGAAGTCTGAATTCAGGGTGCTGGCTCTAGGGTAAGGCTCTCTGTCAGCTCCGGGGGAAGGTCTTTGTTCCTTTGTTCTTTGGTGATCTTCATGTGGTCTGGCATCTATCTTCCCCCAGCTGCTTGCTCACTTGCTGGTTTAATCTCTTTTATATCTCAAAATAGATTGACTTAAAACATATCCTATACTAATACTGTCCCATTAACATAAAAAAGAAAACTCATTCCCAAATGGAATTATAACCACAGGTATAGGGGTTAGGATTTACAACACATATTTTAGGGGGACACAATTCTACCCGTAACAATAGGTATAAGAAAAAATGGTTGTGATTACTTAGTTATTCCAGATCCCCTTGAGGGTGGCCAGTTTGAGATGAAGTACTCAGATGCTTCTGGAAGGAAAGAAGCTCAGTTTGCTCTACCCACTGAGGGTGTGAGCGAGGAAAACACGTGGAAATTAAGTTCAGAGGAAGTAAGCTGGTATTTTGGAACAATTCCTTGCCTATTTAAGAGGAGCTTCCAGATTAGAAGCTCGACGAGATCACAGTCCCCTTCCCGGTCCTCCTGAACAGGTCTTGGGCTGGGAGGGGGTGCTCAGGCTCACCTGGTTATTTCTTCTTTTAGGGCTGCAGGGTCTGCAGGGTAAAACTTCACACGGAAACACATGGCGAATGGAGGCTGGGCTGCAGAGAAAAAGACGTGCCCATCAGGAAGATTCTCCACCAGAAGGTGACTGGATCTCCTGCTCCAGGATACACAGGTTTCTGAACCATCAGAAGAAAATCCTTGTATGTTTAGGGCCAATTTATACCCAGAGCAGTGGAAAACTGCACGTGAAGACCAAGACTTATTATGCGTGGGAGGTTTCACCCACCCTCCCCGGGTGGGAGGCTTCAGTCTTTTCATGGAGAATACTTACATCTCAACTGCTTCACAACAGACTTTGTAAACTCCAGCCAATGCTGAAACAGAGAACACAGAACAAGAAAACCCTAATGAGAAGCACTGTCCAATATGATTTGTTTTATCCAGTTTCGCTAACTAGACAGATTGCAGCCAAGGGTGTAAGCAGCCCAAAAGCTTGTGAAATGTAGGTTGGGAGAGTAAGGAGTGATATGATTTTTTGAAATACGCTCCCCATGGAACCAGCTGTGAAAGCGGGAACACTTCCGGCTTCAGATGCTGTTTCTGGGCTTCCCTGGAAATGCTGAAGTTCTCAGCCATGTTTCTGGCATGCCAGTAGGCACACTGTGTGCATGTATGTGTGATGGGGACAAAGCCCCATGTGGCCTGAGCAGGGAAATGCTGACTTTAATGGGTAGTGGTTTTGTTACGTGCCATCTATTTTTGGCAGTGGGGCAGGGACAAAGGCTATCGATAGCAGTTCTAGAAAGTATTGACACGTAGAATGTCAGAAATGGTGAGATGGCAGGCCGGGATGGCTGGTGGATACTCCATCTTTGAATAGCACAGATTGCCAGCCTTGTGTTAGAGAATATGTACTCTGGATTGCTTGACATTCAAACCCAAACCAAACCAAACCCGTTGCCATTGAGTCGATTCCGACTCATAGCAACTCTATAGGACAGAGAACTGCCCCAAAGGGTTTCCAAGGAACAGCTGGTGGATTCGAACTGCCGACCTTTCAGTTAACAGCCGAGCTCATACCCACCACACCACCAGGGCTCCAGCCAATGTGTAGGACTGGTAAATAATATATATCCCGTTTCCCTTGGCTTTTCAGAGACAGGACACAGTACTAACACATTTTTTCCCCCACGGCACTTATACTGAGGAAAGGAAGCAATGAGGTCACTCTATAGCTGTTTCCTGGTTCTACATGGGTGCTCTATAAAAATTCATTATTGATATTTGTGGCTTTTATGCTAATAAGGAAACTTGCCAATTTGCAGAGAGCTAGAATTGCTATGATTCGGGGTTTGATTAATTGGAAGTGGCTTAAGGCCATGAGCTGTAAGTTCTGTGAGAGCAGAGAACTTGGCTGTCGTGTTTGCCGCTGTTTCCCCAGCGCCTGGCAGAGTGTCCAGCATGCAGCTGTTGGGTGGACTAAGGGGCTGGGTCCATGCTTTCCTCTTTTCTGCCTACTTCCATTTACTGTAATGTCTTGGCAGAATCCTCTCTCTGGCAGGAAGGCAGCCAGGGTGGTGCAGGCAGCATCCTGGCCTCCCTTGCCTCTCAGCTCTCACCTTCTGGGCTGGGCATAGGTCATGCAGTTAATGAACCCACTAAGAGCCAGTTCTTCCGTCAGCTCCACATGGATAATCTGGGCTGACATTCTGCTCTCTTGCTTCCTCTGATCTGAGTTCCCATGAGGCTGGCCACTCATTATAACTACTCAGTGTGGTTAAGAGGTCCTTCGCACATTACACGGCCTACCGAGGCTCGGCTTCACAGGGGAGCAAAGGCAAGAGATGAAATTGCATGGAAAGAACTGGGGTTCCCGGCCATGTGGTGAAGGCGGAGGAGGCCTGTCTGTTCAGAGCACACCAGAATTGTGTACAGTGAGGAGAATGTAGCAAGTATCCAGACGCAGTAAGCAATGCCCCTGGATGTCAGACTGACGGATTAAAAGGAACAAAGCAGACAGAAACGAAGAGGATCGACTGTGAGCTGCATTATCGGCAGAGGGCAGAAGAAGTCGAGCGACAAGAGGCTACTCCCCCAGGCACTAGTGCAGAGAACACTTTAGTTTTAGTATTTACAGTGAGAGCTCAAGGAAGGATTGATCTGGAGGAGGTTAGGAAGGGGGAGGGAAGGGAGTGGAAAGCTGTCACAGGTTGTCCCAGAGATTTTAAGGATCTGGTAGAGAAATCTCGACAGAATCGCAGACCATGGTGGTGGCCAGAGTTGCCTTTGGCAGCTGTCTGGCTCAACCTGGGTCCCAGAATCACTAACAAACTGATAACATGGGGTCGGAGGAGGGGTCAGGAGAGGGGAAAAAGAAGGTTCAGAGAAAGGAGTCTCCTTTTTATTTGGGTAAATGTGGCACAGTCTTCAGTCTCTGCGGGCTTGAAGGGATGCAGAGGGAGGCTGAGAGCATTTCAACCCCTGGGCCTGAAGCGAGAACAGCGGGGAGGGCAGGTGAGGGAAGCCCCCCAGAGGGAAAGGAGGGTTCCTACACACCATGAAGAGTCCTTCGGAGTCAGCAGTGATGTGGGCACGGGTGTAAGCTGGGTTCAGATGGCCTGGTGACCAGGGGGAAGAGGTTTATTTTAGGAGATCCAGGGCGCTTCCCTCCTCCATCTCTGCCAGGAATAAGTGGATCTAGGACGACACCTCTTTAAAGGTCCACTTCCCCTTTAGGACCCTCTCAGTCTTTGCTCTACTTCACCCCTCCCTCGAGGCACCAAATCACACCAGGCAGAGGCTTCCAGGCAGGAGTTCAGCATGGAATCTCAGCAGTCACACAGCACAGGCTCTGCGGCCAGGCTGGTCAACGTTGCCACTTACCTTGGGCAAGTTACTTAACCTGTCTGAAGCTTTCTTTTCCCATCTGGAAAAAGGACATTAGAATTGCAGATAGCCATCTCATTTGCAGTAAGAATTAAATGAAATAATATGTGAAGCTCTTGGCTGGCACAGCTCAGTGCTTGATCAACACCAGCTGAAAGAGTTAGCTTGTGCTCAGGGCATGGTCCTCTTCCCGCTTCCTCATCTTCCTACATCTCCTCTCCTTTCCGTCTTTATCAGCCCTACATACTCTCTTATTCTCTCCAAGCACATTCTGACCTAACAGTAATGAACAGGACACATTTCGCCCTTTTTTTATTCATACACCACCCCCTCTGGGAGATGAACAGATCTGGTGGTAACTGGCCTGCCTTCTTTCTTTATTGTACTTTAGATGAAGGTTTACAGAACAAACAGTTTCTCATTAAACAGTTAGTACACATATTGTTTTATGACAATGGTTCACAACCCCACAACATGTCAACACTGTGCCTTCTCAACCTTGGGTTCCCTATTACCAGCTTTCCTGTCCCCTCCTGTCTTCTAGTCCTTGTACCTGGACTGTTGTGCCCCCTTAGTCTCATTTTGTTTTATGGGGCTATCTAATCTTTGGCTGAATGGTGAACCTCAGGAGTGACTTCATTACCGAGCTAAAAGGGTATCTGGGGGCCGTACTCTCGGGGTTTCTCCATTTTGTTCTACATTTTTCTCTAGCTCTGTCCAGGACCCTCTGTTGTGATCCTGGTCAGAGCAGTCAGTGGTGGTAGCCGGTCACCATCTAGTTGTACTGGACTCAGTCTGGTTCTGGTGGAGGCCGTGGTAGTTATGGTCCATTAGTCTTCTGGACTAATCTTTCCCTTGTATCTTTTCTTCATTCTCCCTTGCTCCCGAAGGGGTGAGACCAGTGGAGTACCTTAGATGGCTGCTCACAGGCTTTTAAGACCCCAGACGCTACTCAAACTGTGTTATGCCAATTGAGCTAGATGTTC